AAGGTAGACCATTAGTTGCTATCTTAATAACCGACGCCTTTGGTCTTTTTGCCCTTATTGCGGCTAGTGGTAAACAAGTTGATGCTTTCAATTGGTTATTGGCTCTTTCTGGATTAAGTTCAATCTTCACCTGGATGGCAATTAACTTAAGTCACATCAGATTCAGAAGAGCTATGTCTGCCCAAAACAGATCATTGAATGAATTGCCTTATGTTTCTCAATGTGGATATTGGGGTTCTTATTATGGATTTATTATTAATGTTTTGGTTTTGATTGCACAGTTTTGGATTGCATTATTCCCATTGGGAGGTCCACCAAATGCTTATGATTTCTTTTTGTCATATTTAGGATTGCCAGTTATTATTCTTTCTTGGTTAGGTTATAAGCTTTGGAAAAGAGATTGGACTTTGTTTATTAGAGCAAAAGAAATTGATGTCGATACTGGTAGAGCAAACATTGATATGGATATTTTACAACAGGAATTAGCTGAAGAAAGAGCAAAATTGGCTGAAAAGCCATTCTATGTTAGATGGTATAGATTCTGGTGTTAAGTTGATTTTTTATTATATAAAAGTTTCTGTATTTATTAATGTATTTATGATTGGAGTTTTAGAATCTTATTGTAGTGATCGTATTGGATCATGTGCCTCTTTGGTTAAGGCATGCCATTGGATTGACCAAAGTTTTCCAACGATCTGGGAATCGTTTCTTTCATTTTGTTTGCAGATACACTTTAGCCTACGACAACTCCGTTTGCTTAGGTTTCTATATATTTAAAACTCGCGTGACTAGGTCAGCCAGTCTAGTTACTTCACTTATATGTATTTATGTCTGTAAGATAGATCATCCCGAGGTTTGGAAGTAAGATCCAAGCTTTTCATGCTTCCAGTAGTGTAAAAAAATAATGAGATCCGAATTGAAAACGGGCATGACTGTATGAAATTTCTTTCACTCCGACCGAGTCGAGAACCATAACCTCTTCATTCTTTGATGACTGATTGGATTAAGTAGTTTTCTTTTTCTTATATCTTGAATACATTTGTTGTGTTTTTTTTCATGATATAGGGGTTGCTTCATTTTGGTTGCAAAATTTTCAAAATTTTGATAGAAAAGGTTGCGAAAAAAGAAAATAAAACCTGAAAATTTTCAATACAGTAACTGGTACGTTTTCAACCCTTGTTCATACAACTACATATGCCGAAACTCGATAACATATCATGAATTTAATCAAAGCTTATCATATTCATACTAGTACACTTTCATCCCAATGAAAGCTCCTCAATGTAATCAAGGAAATAGGAGCCCCCTTCCATGACATCAAATTTGAGGACATTGTATCACCTTTTGAACAAATATTATTTAAACACAATGGCACTCTCTCAGATTTATTATAAGTTGACATGCTCTTGGTTGAATGCTTTTGCCTAATTCCAGGATAATTTTTGATGGATTTTATGGCCCTTTGGTTTGGAGTATCAAAAAAAATATGATCAATTTTTTTCAACCTGGAAAAGAAAGACCTTGCAAAATTCGAAATTAACCCAAACCAGATATATACAATACTGAATGGCTTAGAAACTTTTGACAAGTAGTTACACTCCAGTAGAACAAATATCTGTGCATTGATCGGAGCATCAACACAGTCATCACTCGAAAATTTAAAACTCTGAAAAGTGAAATTTCCCTTAATTTTTCTCTCTAAAACTCTGACAGGGTATAAGAACATAATATCTAAACCATCTAACAACCACAAAATCCTAAATTCTTCTCTTTTGGCTGATTTTTTTTTTCTTAAAATCATATATATTAGACTATATAAAAACGAGAAGAATCTATATAGAAATATATGCGCCTCCTGGACAATGTAAGGAGGGATTCATACTTATAACTCTAAGTGGTTCAAAAAACCTTTTATAGGCTAACTATGTCAGAAGACACAGTCTCGTGTGAGAATCTCCTAAAATAGGCATACTCACTAAAAAAACCAGCTTTTTCTTAAGTTGCAACATATTTAACATTAATAATTGGACTTGGATTAAAACTGTAATAAAACCACTGTTATGGATAATAAAGGTTTAAAAGAAAGTAAAAAAA